GCAGTTTCAAAACACTATGATATTGAAGTTGCATCTGTCACCTGCCCCGAATTTCTTGACTCTGTGCTAAAGAGGACTTGAGATGTGGCTTTAAACTGACCATTTTCAGGGATGGACCTGAAAGCAAAGACTGCAAAAACATGAAAGCCTTGGCTTTTTGTGGGGCTTACGAAAAGCTTTGTACCACTCTTGTTACCTCTAGAGAAAGGGGATGTTGAACCACCAAAACTGCCAGTTCAAACTCTTCATTGAATTCATGAAGTAAATTGGTGAAAGGAAGAATGAGGCTTGTGTTGTGTGTGCAGCTCCCCTGTTCTGGTGATAGATCTTTCAATGATCGTGAGTAAAACTACTGTCTCCCTCGTGCTGTCTGCATCACTGGGTGTGAAGCAGCAAATTGCTATAATTTAATATACTGTACTTGCAACTTTCTCTTTAACATGAGATCGTGTTATTTATTTCTGTCTTGACAGGTGCTTTTGACATTTTATCATGGCAGATGGTTTCAAAGAAGTAATAAAACACATCCAACCTAATTGGACAATTACTCTTTTTTCTTATTGAAATTATAAACTGAAACATACTTCTGTGATGTTAACACGTTTCTGTTCTTAGTAATAAATGAAAGTGGCAGTGGCATGAAATACCTTTTTTTTAAAAAGTAACTTTCTGTAGCACAATGTATTTTGCATTGTCAAGAGATATTTCCCATAACTGCCCACTGTCTGCCTTTTTTCTACCCAAATTCTGTACAAGGGAATGCATTTTTAATAAGGTTAAACTCAGATGTCAAGTGTCATATGTGACTTGAGCTGGAATTTATTGAAGCTTGATTCTATTGATGAAGAAAGCTCAGGACAGGCTGGATTCTAAATCATTGCTGGTGTGTGGCTTATTTTGAGTCAGTCTGAATAATATGAGCAGTTCAATCAAACCTGATGCTGTGCTTTGTGGGAGTATCCCCACAAAAGGGGGTCTGTCTGTGCCTTTGGGCAATGAAAGCCCAGAAAAGCCACAGCAGCTGCTGCCTCCTCAGGTATTCCAGGAGCTGCCAGAGCCTCCTGCCTTCGCTTCTGCCCAGCCCTGGAAATCTCTGTGTGCTGCTGCAGGCAAAGCTGGGACCTTCTCATCCTGGGGCTTCTTTGTGGATGCTGGATTCTTCTCAGCCTGTATGGAAGCTCAAATTCCTTGCTAAAGAGCAGAACATTGCTTTAGAATGGCATTGCTAAAGCATCTCCCAAGGGTTTGTGTCTCCTCACCTGGTGGGAGTGGCCTGTAAAGCTGTTGGCTTGTTCACAGTTTCTCCACTAAAATGCATGGGAGCGTGCAAAAAATGCGCTGCAACTTATTAACAGAAATTAATTATATGCTGAAAGGACAGTATTAAAAGCACTGTAATAACATTATTTTTACTGAAAGTTTTCTCTAGAAACTGAAAAGTAATGTGGAAGAATTGTTTTTTGGCATATCTATACTTAATGCTGTGTTCACTGCCTAGATTGCATTGATTTAAGGTTTGCTTTCATGAACAGCACAAAAGAGTCTTAACTCCTTTGTTTAAGTGTTTGGAAACCTGCAAACTTTAAATTCTTGGATAGGTGACAGTGAAACTGATTTTGTTGGAAAAAAATGTGCTACTATTTAAAAAAACCCAAACCAAACAACCGCCTTAAACAAAACTCATTAAAACAGTGAATTCATTATAATTTTGCATATTAATTATGGTGGATTGTGTAAGATCATATTTTACTGGCTTAATTCCGTGGATACTTGTAGAGGATCAATAACTGGAAGATGGGTCCTTGCTGCAGTGTCTGGTGGAGCTCAGACAAATAGAGATGTTTGCAGTTGCTGGTGGTGGGATGTTCACAGGGAGTTTCTGTAGATAAAATTGATTTCCTCAGTCCATTCCCTTCACACGGACCCTCCTCTGCTGCCCTTAACTGCAACAAAAGGATTGTGGGTTAGGTGAGTGTTTCCTGCTGTTTTATTTGCTTTTCAGATGCTGTGGATTCAGGGAATGTGCTGGTTTTGGACGCTTCGAGCAGCAGGAACAGCAGATTTTGAACTCAATGATTGGGAGCTTACTGCCTGGAGGAATCTTTGGAATGTCTCAATCCTGAAGTAATTGCTGTGTGTCCTCTCACTCCCACGCTGCTCTTATGTATTGGGATAACAGTGGACCCCTGAGCAGTATTTTCTGTGGCTCAGTAAAGAGACTCGTTAAAGTTGGAGCCTGTATATTGAGTTACCGTCCCATCTGTGAGGATGCACGACTGACCTC